TTAGCAGCTCTCAATTATCCCAAAGGTGCTTTATCAAAAGGCACCTTTGGAGTAATTGTTTCTTGAAGACATTTCACTTCTCATCCAAGAAGCTTCTTCAGTTCTGATTGAATGGAGGGGGAGGAAGGATTTATATTCCTTGCAGTCATCTGGCTGTTAGCACTCTCTCTGAGAGTCATTGAGGCCACTTGGGGGTTCATCTGGATCACCTGAATAGTGCAAATGGGTGGAACCTTCTTGGAACTGCTGAAAGAACTGTGTTGTAAACAAGAGATGGGGGGCCTCATTCCCGTCCCCTTCTGTTGAGGGAGATCTGTTCAATTTGAACATAGATGGCCTCTTTGACCCCTCTTTCAAACCAGCAGTCCTCCCTATCCAGAATGTAGACTTTGCTGTCTTCAAAAGAGTGGTATTTGTCTTTCAAATGCAGATGGACTGCTGAATCTTGGGTTTGTTCTCCTATGTTGTACCATGCATTTATGAAGTGGTTGTTTTGTTTCTCCAATGTACAGATCTGCACATGTCTCACTACCTTCTACTGCATATATTACATTGCTCAGTTTATGTCTGGATGTTTTATCCTTGGAATGGACAAGCTTCTGCCTGATCTATATGGGGGAAGGGTTCTGTAATCAACTCTGTAACATCAGCTCTTTAGTTCACATGGGAAGATGTCAAGGAAAATAGTCTGGCTTTCTTGGACTGAGCAGTACACATTAAGGAAAACAGAAGCCTTAACCCTGAAGTTTACAGAAAACCCACACACAGAAATCAGTGTTTACATTTTGATTCTCATCACCCATTGGAACACAAAATGGGAGTGATCAGAACCTTACACCACTGGGCTGAAGGTTTGCCTACTAGTAAAGAGGGAAAAGCAGAAGAATTAAAACACATCAAGGAAGCTCTCAGAACTTGTGACTATCCCAACTGGGCCTTCAAATCCAAAAAAGGACCCAGCAAGAGCTCCTCCATAACAAACAAAGAAGAGAATAACAAACGTGCTTTTTCGAGAGGCAACTGGACTTTCTTGTTTTTCTTTGAAGACATTTCTCTTCTCATCCAAGAAGCTTCTTCAGCTCTGATTGGATGGTGGGGAGTGGAAGGATTTATATTCCTTACAGACAGCTAGTCATTTGCATTCTTTTAGTTGTCATTCCATACATTGCAGGAATATCTGAAAACCTCAGGAAGATTTTCAACCAACACAATATACATACACACTTTAAACTCCAAAATATACTAAGGCAGAAACTTGCCCACCCCAAGGACAAAACACCAGACATAAAATGAGCAATGTGATATATGCAATACAAGGGAGTGAGACATTTCCAGATGCATTTGGAAAAACAAAACAATGGTGAAAAAAGTTAGGTTCTACATTTAGGCAAGAACAGAGCAGCAAAGGTTGATGCCCAAGGTAAAGCAGCCTGACCATTACACCTTCCCATCCCACTCCCTGCCCCAATGGAAATGGCTCTCAGTGAGCCAAGAAAGGCTGAAAATAGTTTTTCCTGCACAACTGCCAAGTAAATACAAACTTTTAACAAGGCCCTCAAAAGCAGCCTCCTAACCCCTCCCGGAAAGCAGGCTGGACCTGATGGGAAGCCTTGTACTTTGAAGATTGACGGACTTCCAAAAAATAACCAGAGGGTGATCCTCAGGCATGGTAACTATGAGAAGTATTCAGAAGAGAGAAACCACCTACTGTTACAGCTCATCCTTGACTTACAACCATTCATTTATTGATTGCTCAAATTTACAGTGGCACTGAACAAAATTACTTATGACCAGTTCTCACTCATCACTGCAGCATCCTCACAGTCACATTATCAAATTTTGGGAATTTGGCAACTGACAAGTATTTACAAAGGTTGCCACATCCTGTATTTAAAGCCCAGATTGTTCTAAGTAGGAAAACCTCAACATTCAGGGGTGGGGGTGGGGGTCAAGCTCCTTTCACTGAGTGTGTCAGGTACCCATCTATTGGAGATGCTTCATTTTTGATGGGCAAAATAACTTCTTCCTGCTCTATGATTCTGTGGCTGCATCTGCAATAGAGAGAGAGAAGCCGCAGGACTTTCCTGCACTCTCCAGAAGCAATGGCTAGAAATGGGGGGCTTCGAAGTCAGTTGAAATTTGAACAGCTGCTACCAGTAGTATTTCCATTTCAACTGACCAGGGAACCCTGCGGAGCAAGAGTTAGTCTATTTGAGAAACTAAAAAAAGACCCAAAGCCTTGCCTTGGCCCTTGACAGGTAGCAAATCTCTCTCACATTGATGATGTTACCTAATTGGGTAATGAAATGTTTGGAAGCAAACAGCCAAGCTCAAAGAGCATCAAGGTCTCCACACTTAGTAGAGGAAACCTTGGTTTTAGTTAGAATTGATGCACTTATCCTGCAGTTTAGAACAATAAAATTGGACACAATTTGCAGCTAAACTATAGCTCTTAATTCAGGAGATTCATACAGCTCCGCACTAATGACACTCAGAAAATCATTAAAAAGGTGGTTGTTCTTCCAGGTCTTGGCACAGGTTGTGATTGTGAAGACCTTATATGTTTGGCTTATTTGTTTTTTGTTTTTTTTTAATTGGTCTTACAGTCACCTTTTAGGCAACTTACCATTCTCTTAGGCATCTCTTAATGTATCTGCAGCTGCTAAGTGGTACAGAGGATGCCAAAAGGGGTTTATTTCCATGCTGATCCAATGCAAATGGATAAATGCAGGACATAAATAAATAAACAAAGACCAGTTTTCAGCACAAACACCCAAGGCATCGGCACTAAAGAGAGGCCCTGAAGGAAGAAGGCACTCCTTGTGAAAATGATGCCTATACCTTTTTAAACAGAGGTCTCCCTCTCTCTCTCTCTCTCTCTCTCCCCCCCTTTCCCACATGCATATCTATGTCCTTTTTACACAGGATCAAGAGTTGAAATAAAGGAAAGAGATCTCCACTTTAGGTTTCATTCCAGAGATCCTGAACAGAAACTTGGCAGAATTCAAAATTTTGACAGCCACTTTGCGCATAGAAAACAAAGAAAGCTGGGCAACCAGATGGCCCAGTGGGACTCCACACACATGAACACCCAGACTTCCTGAGCATGAGGCCCTGACCGATTGCCTCTGCACAATGGTGCTCCAGTGAGCCAACAGCCAACAACTCCACAGAATCCGAGGCCCACCTGCTGCAGGAAAGAGATGATGGGCCCACAGGTCTTGCTATCCCACAGGAGCGTCACAGAAGTCACAGACCCACCCCATCCCTTTGGGCCGCCATCAGCAGCAGCAGCAGCAGCAGCAGCAGCAAAGCAATGAGATGGAGCCAAAGGCCCTTCAAAATGCCCAGGCATGTAGAGCAAGGTGAGCTATACTATGGGATCCAGCAGGGAAAAAACTCTCCAAAGAGGCTCCCCTCTAGCAGAAGCCTCGGAAACAGGCTGGGTGGCCTCTTCGTTAAGCCACGCCCACCTTTACATTTCAAGGCACCCATTTTTTCTTTCGGAGGAGTTGCTGTGGCTGTTGTACTCTTGATTTATGCAATTATTGACGTTTTTCCATGCAAATAATGTATTTGATTAAAACATTAAACAATTCTAAAACATTTTTTTTTAAAAAACCCACAACATTCTATTCGTGTTTCACATACAAAACATAAAAAGCGTTAATCGCACGTGGGTCTGCCGGCCATCCTCCGGCAGCGTCCTTTCCCACAGGATCAGGCCCCACCCCGCCAGCTGAGCAGAGAGCGGAGACACCGGCTGAGAAGCCGCAGGTCGCAGCACTCCAGACAGGCACAGGGCCGGTCCTCACGTGCACACCGGTCCAGGAACGAGCCGGCCGCAAGCGTCACTCGAGGGTCCCTACTATTTCAGCTGGGGAACAAGGGGAGGCCTGGCAGGGACGAGTTCTGCCGCTGAAAGACTGGTTCAGGACCCTCCTCTAGCCGGCCAGCTGTGGCAAAGGAAAGAGCAGCCGCATCGCCTTGCACCGGCGCGCTCGGTAGCCGCACCGCCCGGGAGGGGCAAGAGAGGACGGATCCTTCCCTCCCTTGATGACAGCGGGGAAAGTCCATCGAGAACCACCGCAGCAGCTTTCACAGTCTAACCACCGGGATGAAGGAGGGGCCATCCTTTGATAAGCGACCCCCCCCCCGCACACTAGCAAACGAGCCCGGCGATCTGGATATGGTTGCCCAGCGGAGGAGGGGTCCCCCAGATATACACCGGCGCGTTCCCACCGCGCTGCCAAGGGGGCTGGGCCGAAGACAGCAAATAAACCTTCTTCGCCTGAACGTGGCACCCAGAGCGGCGCGGCTCCCGGCTACAAAGGCTGCCCTGCGGAGAGGCCCCCGGGCCGCCGCCCCAAGACCTGCAGAAAGCGGAGAGGGCGGCGGCCTCTGCAGCTGAAGGCCAAGAGAAAGCGCAGCAAGTGCCAGTGGCGAGGGCGCCCCAGCGGGCTGGAGACCAGACGCGTCCGATACCGGCCGGCTTCTCCTGGCGGCGAAGCCCGAACCCGGCGTCTTCTGCCTGGCGACGGGCGCTGCGCTGCCCCGTTCGTCGTGAGATCCCCTCGTTGTCCGGTTCGGTTCGAGGCTGCCTTGGCGCCACAGGGGAAGCAGGTGCTCGCCACTCCCCACTAGGGGTTCCCCGCCGCCAGGCGGGCACTTCGGAGCAGCCGCCCAGAACGGCCAGTAGGGGCCACGCGTGAGCTGCCGACAAGGGCGCATCCACCTCGGAAGAGGCCTGGCACGAGTGGAAACAGGCCGGTTCCGCCAGCAGCAAGAGCGCGCCCCGCGCACACACCCGCGCGCACACACCCCAAGCTTCGAAGCGCCTCCTCCTCCCGCTGCCCCGCTTCACAACAACGGGGCCCGATGGAATGGAACCGCGGCCGCACCGGTAAACACCAAACACGGTTACGGCTCACGCAGAAGCCGCGCTGCGGCTTCCACGCAGGGAGGAGCTCAAACTACGCCCTACTCGCCTCCCTTCTCACCTTGAGGCCTGCCATCGGTTGGGAAGGGGCTCGACCTGCCTGCCGCCGGCCCCTTGCCAGCGACAATCGTCCTCACCCCCGCCCCGGAGAGTGAGCAAGACCAGGTCGCTCGCCTACGTCGAGCTCCGGCGCGCCGGCCGGGAAGCCCTCCGCTCTTGGCGGCTCCTCCGTCTCCTCCGCGAAGGCTGATCTGCGACCGGGATGACAGGCGGTGTCTGCGCAATTCTGGGCGAAGGCGGATTGCCGCCGCGACGCCCCTCTGGCCGCGCGCTTTTACCTGGCCCGACGGCCACCGTTCGCGGCCGCGCCTCCCCTGCGCGCCCGGGTTGGTAGGCGAGGCTGGCCATGCGCTCGCCCGGAGAGGCTCCTCCTGCCGGCTCGTCACACGCGCGGCATCGTCAGCCGGCGCTACGCACTCTCTCGCGGCTCCTTTCCTCCTGACGCTCCCGCGCGGTCTCCGCAACCGAGCACGCCCGCTCGGCTGCTGAGTGGGGCAGCTGCAGCTAATGAGTTGCCGGCTCTGAACGAAGTCGCTGCTGCCGGTGTCAGAAGATGTGGGACGGTGGGGGTCGGATACACCCCTGCCCCTCTTTCTCGGGAGGGGGCCAGCAAGCAAACCAACCGACGGCTATGTTGAAGCTCACAGGATTTCTGGCAATTCTGCGCTTGGTGCACCTGCGTTTTCCTGCTGGCCCCAGCCATCTCCCATGCCCAGAAAGTGTTCCATTGCTCCTGGTTCCAGGCTGAGGATTCCTCAAACCCGGGGCAGACTGAGTCTAAAAACTACTGCAGGAAAGGGCAGGCCTCTGCTTGGCAGGAATGCCGCTTGCCTTGACCCTTGGTCTCCTTTCCTGAGCCCATGGACAAGAGGAAAGGGTTGTCTTCATTTCAATGGAGAGAAAAAAACAGGCATGCTGAGTAAATTGCATGGAGTTCTGCCAGCCTCGTTTGATGTGCGTATGAGAAATACTCTTCCTGGTTGGCCCTTAGCCAAGAAGCCATTATTGTAATATGGCAGTCGGTCAATGGTGGTGGTGTGTGGAGCAGATCTTGGGACTTGCAATTAACCACAACGGTGGTTAAATTCTTACCTGTCAAAATGTTGGACAGAGACCCAGCCAGAGATGGGCTCCGGGCTGTTGCTATCTGAGTGTCTTGGTCTGGAGCTGCTTAGCAACAGCAGGGAAAGCCTCAGAGCACAGATCGCCCAGACATCCAAGCACAGGCAAGCAGTTGGTGGGCAGCTCAGTGCCTTTTCTCTGGGTTGCCGATTTCCTGTGTGACTTGCTCATAAAGACTTGGCAGCCCCTGAAACAAAGCTGTGTTGGCAACTAGACATTCTGTGGCTTGGGAAGCCAAATGCAGGAGGACCTTACAGAGTTCCTAGCAGCTGAATGAATGTCCTTTACAGACCTGGTGCTGCAATGGTTAGAATGCAATACTGCAGGCTACTTCTGCTGACTGCCGGCTGCCAGCAGTATGGCAGTTCAATTCTCATCGGCTTCAGGCTCAATGGTACTACCTCCACATGGAGAGAAGCAGTGGGGTACCGCAAGGCTCCGTCTTAGGCCCAGTACACTTCAATATCTTCATTAATGACTTAGATGAGGGAATAGAAGGGAAATTCATTAAATTTGCAGATGACACTAAACTGGCAGGAATAGCCAACATCTCAGAAAACAAGCTCAGGATCCAAAAAGATCTTGACAAACTTGAACAATGGGCCCTAACCAGAAAAATGAGTTTTAATGTAGAGAAAAGCAAAGTTTTACATTTAGGCAGGAAAAATCAAATATAAAAGTACAGATTAGGTGAGACCTGGCTCAGAAACAATAACTGAGAGGGATCTAGTGGACGATCATTTGACTATGAGCCAACAGTGTGCAGCAGCAGCCAAAAAAGCTAATACAATCCTGGGTCGTATAAACAGAGGCATAGAATCAAGATCACGTGAAGTATTAGTACCGCTTTATAAAACCCTAGTAAGGGCACATCTGGAATACTGCAGCCAATTTTGGTCACCATACTACAAAATGTTGAGACCTAGGAAAAAGTTCAGAGAAGAGCAACTAAGATGATCCAAGGCCTGGAAACTAAAACATATGAAGAACGGCTACAGGACTTGGGTTTGGTTAGTCTAAAGAAGAAATAAGACTGACATGATAACAGTATCTGAGGGGCTGCCACAAAGAAGAGGGAGTCAAATTATTCTCCAAAGCACCAGAGCACAGGACAAAAAACAATGGTTGGAAACTGATCAAAGAGAGAAGCAACCTGGAATTAAGGAGAAATTTCCTAACAGTGAGGACAATTAATCAGTGGAAAAGCTTGCCTTCAGAAATCGTGGGCACTCCATCACTGGAGGTTTTTAAGAAGAGACTGGATATTCACTTGTCTGAGATGGTATAGGTTCTTCTGTTTGAGCGGGGGGCTGGACTAGAAGAGCTCCAAGGTCCCTTCCAGATTCTATTCTACTCTATTCTACTCTACTCTACTCTGGTTGACTCTGCCTTCCATCTCACCGAGGTTGGTAAAACAAGGACCCAGATTATTGGGGCCATAAAGCCCTTAGAGAGAGCTGTAAAGCATTGTGAAGCAGTATATACGTCTAAGTGCTACATTGCTATTGCTATTTACCACCCTCTTGCCATGCAGCTTTCTTTTGCCCTTTCCCATAGCAAGTGGCTCCAAGCAGGCCTAAATTCTCCCTTCCCCTACAGAATCCTGGCTGGGAACCTGTTTCTGAGCAAAGGCAGGGCTTAAAATGTGTGCAGGCCATTTCACCTGTAAAACATCCCAAAGCAGAGACAAATAATTGATTACATTAAAGCAAATGCAGTAAGACGTACGATAAGCAATAGTCCTGATCTCCAGGAGCCAAGAGATGGGCAAGGGTTGGAGATTAGAATTTCCCATTCACATCCTAGTTTGCAGATCACAATATAATTCTGGACCTGCCAACCTTCATAAACTTGATTTCAAAATCTAATAGTAGGAAAGACGGGGAAATCAAAAATAAAAATAGATAATTCATTCTGTTGGTTTGAGTTGCTTGGGCAAATCCTCTCCAAAATGGATTGCAAACTAGCAACTCTTCTGAGATGTTTAAATATGCATTTGGACCACATGGCAAAAGAAATTAGATAGGATCAGGAAGTCAAGCCACTCTTGTACTGTCACTATTTCTATCCCATGAATGGAGATGCCCCAGTGGCCACCAGATGGGGCTCCTGTGAGCCGGCTGGAATGGGCTTATGTCCCCAGTCCTGCATCCAAATACTCCTGATGGAACTGGGGCATCCCCAATCCTCCCACTCCAGGACCAGCCCTCTCCACCATGAGGAGTGAAGCCTGGGCATTGCTTGGAAGCATGAGGTACCTATGCTCTGAGGAATGGGAGAAGGGCTCTTAGGATAAAGATTATCCCTCCGTCCTTTCCTAGGTTCTTAAATGCTTTTCCCAGCAATCAATTCCCAAAAGCATACAAAGTATTTTGTAATCCTTCAGTTGCCTTTAACCTCAAAATGAGATGTGGAAATTGTTTGAAGAAAAAAGACCTTTAAATGGCAGCACCTGCACTGGTTCATTAAGGATGTGAACTGCATTATTTTCTGTGATTTCACAGTACTTCTCATAGTTGCCCACATAACATTTGTTCAAACCACAGATGGCAATCAAAGAAAATCAATTGCGTTTTCTCCAAATTCTGCCATGTGGGGGCTGGAGAAGCCAGAGGAACACATTTGAGCAGGATGCTTCCAGACTGATGGCGCCTGACAGGTGCTGCTTTACAGGAATTCTGCAGCTGCTTTGTCTTCTCTTCTTAATGGAAGGGGGGGGGGAAAGATGTATGAGAGGATTACAAATGTAAAATAATTTCCATGAATTGGATTAGTCTACAAAGTTCTACTGAGCATCATGAGAGGTGAAAAAGAAGCATCAAAAGTCTTGGTGGCTTTGAGGAAAGAGCTGCTCAAAGTAAGTAGATAGGTCAAGACTACATCTCTGCATTGCAAGGCGCTTCCTTGAAGCTATCCTGAGCTGGGCATCACTGGACCACAGCTCTCCCCCTTCAAGGTGCAAGATGCAAGGCAGTTGCAGCTACAAATAATTTGGAAAAGGAAGTTTAAGGCCCCAGTGAAATGCTCAAGTGGAATTCAGTGCAAGGAAGAGCAGAGAAGATGCCAATCAACACGTCAATGACTTGCCATGCAGAGTGTTAATAGGAAAAGAGACTTGAGGGGTCTGTGTTGCCTTTGCCTAGATCAGGGGTGTCAAACTGCCGGCCCACGGGCCGGTTTCATCATACCGAAGCTGCGCCCACCCTATTGCCAGCAATGCAAAGAATCGCAATATGCTGCAACACGTCACGTGACATGGTGAGTTTGACACCCGTGGCCTAGGTGATAAGAGTGTTCATCACAAGATGAACTGTATTCTGCAAGAACTTTTTTCAAAAGCTATTTGGCCAAAACACGACAATCTTGATGAGGAGATACTTGAAAAGTATCTCTGTAGTTCTATGCTTAATTTTAGGCATATTACTTAAAATGAATAATTTTCTGCTTTTGCTGAATTTCAGTGAACTGGGGACTAAGACTAGATAATCAGCTTCAGCATCTTTTGCCATTGCATCCCCCGGCTGCCCCTCCCCTCCCCGTTATCTCCTTTCATGCAAGCAACACTGACTATTAGGATGGGTCCTTGGTGCTCTGTGAGAGCAAGGATGAGGCCAACTCCTCTGATCACGATGTTTCCCTTCTTCTGTGCCCAGGATGCCACGTTCCATAAAGCCTCTCCTCTTCCTCCCTTACATCTTCTTAACTGATAAGCAAAAGGAGCTTTAGAAACAGAAATCTTTTATGGTAGGGAAATTCCAAAGCTCATGCTATATTGATACAATGAAAGCAACCCACTTCCCTCAAGGCTACTGAGTGGGTGTAGATGCTTGTCTTTATTCCAATGTCTTGTGTTTAGTTGACCTTCAGCAATGCAATTCAGAAGCCTCATAATAGCGGACACTATGGAAGCTTGACAGATGAATGAGTCAAGCAGATGCTGTTGCTAACAGCACCTCTAGAGCTTATTCAGTTGCCCCATGACCAAAGCATACCACAAACACTGTCTGCCCCTCTCCAGAGATGATGATGATGATGATAATAATATAATAAAAAAAGTTGGGAGGGACCTTGGAGGTCATCTAGTCCAACTCCCTGCTCAGGCAGGAAACCCTATACCATTTCAGACAAATGGCTGTCCAGTCTCTTCTTAAAAACTTCCAGTGTTGGAGCATTCACCCCTTCTGGAGGCAAGGTTGTTCCACTGGTTAATTGTTCTAACTGTCAAGAAGTTTCTCCTTAGTTCTAGGTTGCTTCTCTCCTTGATTTATTTTATTTATTTATTTATTTATGAGACTTATATACCGCTTTAAGTGCAAGCACTCTCTAAGCGATGTACACCAGTAAGCAATATATTGCTGCTCAAAGCACGAAGCTGAAAACACCAGCCTGAAGATGACGAATGGGACTTTGTCGAAACGTCGCCAAGACACTTCCAATTTTACGCGGGAGAAAACCCGAACAATCAAAGACCTACATATATATATTTATATATATTTACATTGCCCCCAACAATCTGGGTCCTCATTTTACCTACCCCAGAAGGATGGAAGGCTGAGTCAACCTTGAGCCGGTGAGATTTGAACCGCTGACCTGCTGAACACATCCGTTGCTTCTTGTCCTGCCTTCAGGTGCTTTGGAGAATAGCTTGACTCCCTCTTCTTTGTGGTAGCCCCTGAGATATTGGAACACTGCTATCATGTCCCCCCTCGTCCTTCTCTTCATTAAACTAGACATACCCAATTTCAGCAACCGTTCCTTATATGTTTTAGCCTCCAGTCCCCTAACCATCTTTGTTGCTCTTCTCTGTACTCTTTCTTAAGTCTCAACATCTTTTTTACATCGTGGTGATCAAAACTGGATGCAGTATTCCAAGTGTGGCCTTACCAAGGCATTGTAAAGTGGTATTAAGACTTCACGTGATCTTGATTCTATCCCTGTTAATGCAGCCCAGCACTGTGTTGGCCTTTTTGGCAGCTGCAGCACATGGCTGGCTCCTATTTAAGTGATTGTCCACTAGGACTCCGAGGTCCCTCTCGCAGTTACTACTATTGAAGCAAGTCACCCACCTAACCATAGTAGTCATTCCCAAGACCTTTGGTGGTTCCCTTCTGTTGATCACAAAACCATGCTTGCCAACACCCGTGATTTCAGTTTCCAGGTGAGGACCTATGATGGGTTAAATGTGCTTGTGAGGCAAAGATCAACAGCCAGGCAACAACTTTTGACCCATGGAATTCTCTCTGGGGATGTAGAGATTGAGAGATTGCCCATTGTGTTCTGGACAGCTGCTCCTCATGAGACTCTGGGAATCCAGTTTCTCCTGGAGTCTGTGAGTTGGCAGTTTAGGAGCTGAGGGATTACCATCACACTCAAAACCACTGTGCAGCCTTTATGAACGCCAGATATGCAAAAGCCTCATTTTCTTAAATACTTTTGGATACAATTAATTTCAATTTAAGAGAGATCTTACAA